GAATCTGAAATGGCATTTGCTGACAGCTTACTGAATGATGAGCATCTCCAGTTTCTGCTCCTGATTGTTCATCCTTAATCTCAAACAACTGACTCTGGAAGTAGTTGGCCACTGTACAACTGCTGGGCTTGGAAGGTTTTCCCCGGCTCCCCTCTCTTCAGCATTTGTACCCGTGCAGAGCCGCCTCGTCTTGGCCGTGCTTACTCTCAGCTGCTACTTAAACCCAAGTGAGCTTGAAGAATCAGCTGCAGACCCAGGGCCCAAACCAACAAACAAGTATCTGGCCCCTCACACCCAGCTGCAAGATGCATTCCTCCATGTGTTTTTAGGAAGGAAGGATAATTTCAAAATGTGAGACCAGAACTAGGACTTCCCCCACGGGACCCATCTGCAAGGCTAGAGTAATGCCTACTTCCCTCCAGAAGCAGAGGGGAGCATCATTCAGCTTACTCTACAGACTAGCTATTACAGCCTTTCAACAAAAGACCTGCATTTCCCAGATACATTTGAACCCTCGGGCTCAAGAAGGCCTAAAACAACCAAATTGGCCCACTTGCTTCATCAGCACTTAATTAATAAATCATTAGGTAACAAACAGGCACCATTCAAGCTTTGAAAATAAATCAGAGGCAAATTCTTTCCAGCTGCTTGAGAAAACAGCAGTATATCCTTAGGAGCTGATTCCCTAATTTGGAAGCAAAGGGACGCATCCAGGCTGGAGGCTGGTAGGATTTGAAACTCAAGTGTCAGCGATTGTATTTCCCATTGAAAACCTGTGTGGCTCTTGATCAGCACCCTGCTGTCATGGATTCTGTGCCAATGTACCTCTCATCATGCACTGACAGGGAGCCAAAACTCAGCATTGAGCATTGCAGCTGAACGATTGCAATACACATCTCAAGTGAGCCAAATCCTTTCTGGGATCTGATTTCAATGTGCCATCACAGTTGATAGCTACAGGGATTAAACAGTGGAAAGATAAAATACAATTTAAAAGAAAAAAAAGTTTTATAAAAAAGACTTGAATATAATCGCATAAGAAATAATTTGCAACTCATGTCCAAAATAAAGTTTAAATTCTTTTATCATTAACAAGGCACCATAAGTGTCAATATCCCCATACAAGTGTTTAGGTAACAAACCTTACTTTCTTGGAATTGTACAACAGGGAGGCAATCAAAACCTGCCCCAGACTCTTGGGTATTTGAAAAAACCCACAGACAGATCAAACACAAAACAAACATCACACACTACTTTTCTGTTGGTAGTGAACATTACAAAAAACAGTACTTTTAAAGGTAACATTAATTTAGACTCCTTTAAGTCCTCATTCACAGGTCTGCTGCACACACCAGTTCCTTGATATACTCATACAGAACAAATGTGACTTGCATACAAATAGCTAGGTCCTTCGATTTCTAGACCCATATCACCCTAACAATCTGTGTAACCATGGAAAACAACATACTGGTTAATTCTACATGAACTGGAGTCGTGCCCTGTCACCACTGCCTGCCCCACTCTCAGCAGCTCAGAGAATGGCACATATCTTCTTGCCTACTTCTGGACAAGGTAACTGGTACTACTAATGGAGAAACTTCAACCTTGAGTTGATACAAACAAACAATAACAAGAATGGAGACAGATAATGGAAATGGAAGAAAACACAGCACAGTACAGTCATACTAGGTAACAGGCTTAAATAATTATTTTTTTTTTTTTTAACTTATTTGAGGTTGAAGTTTTTGGCTATTGAAATAAAAGCTTTCCTCACCCCCTAATTAGCCTAGCTACCGATATCAAAATATATCCACAGATCTGTTGAATAGTAAGTATATTAGGCTACTTTGGTGAACAAATTGGTAATATGTTTTGATCATTACACTACAAGACAGTTCAGATAATTCACAAATTAGTAGGCTTCCAATATGTAGAATAATGTTCAAGTGAGTATAACATGAAAGTAATTATCTTAGTAAAAGACAGTATAGCCAAAAATCTATGATCTTCAAATGAAACGTCATACCTTGACAGATTAACATACATCCGTTTCTTTAAAGTAATACAGCTTGTAAACACATGTAACAATGTTTATGTATTACCTACATTAATAATAAGCTTTAGATCCTATCAACAGTACTTACTGAAGATTAATTCTTTCAATAAAATGCAGCTGACAGTCTCAACAACTTCTAACATTTAAGGTGAAGTGATTTTTTTCCCTTCAGTGTTCAAAGTACTAAGTACTTGTCATACACATTTTAACTTTCCCAATTAATATTTTTACTTTCATTCATTCATTCATTCATGTCCTAGATAGAGATCATCTATCCATTCATTTCTAACAAGTTGTTGCAAAAACATTTTTCTTTCTTTTTTTCTTTTTTTTTTTTTTTCAATCAGAGATCCATGCTGCTTCGCCCACCCTACAAATTCTGAATACCAAATAACTTATGGTAAAAATACAAATTCTGTTTTGAAAGAAAACATACAAAATTTACATCGTGTAGCATGTGCATCTAAATATCCTGATTGTCAAGTAGTGCAAGTTTCCTCTTTGACATATACACTTTTTGTTTTTAGAGACAAGAGCTTGCTTCACTGATCTTTGCTCATTCCATTTCTTGCCATCTTTGGTAGTCTTTGTCCCTTTGTGTAAGCATGGTACCAGAAGTGGAGAAACAAGACTAGAAACATAGAGCCATACAGCCAAATAATAAACATGAAAATTGGATACTGGTACGGACAATCATCCATGATGTAGATTTGTCCTATATGAACTGTAATCATAATAAACTGGACCTGGAAGAAAAATGTGAAGAAAATAAATACATTTTAAATAAATTACAAACTTACTACAGAATTGTAAAAATATTCAGCATAACTTGTATACAGAAAAACAGAAAGCATGTTTGGTGGGAGGCTTTTTAAATTTACAGAGATGCACCTTTTGAGCCCCACTCCTAAATTGTTACTCTACTGAAAAACATTTTTTAAAGTGTAAAGAAATAGAAGTCTTGGGACAAAGTGAATTACAAGCAGCACTGAAAAACTCTTGCTAGGAGAATGGGAGTCTGCCCTGGCCAATCTAGAGAAGAAAGAAAAGCATTGGACCTGTGATAAATGGGAGGCTCCCTTAGAAAAATTAGCCAGAAAAACAACAAGTTGACCATTATAGGATCTGTGAAGATTAATTCCCACCTTCCTCACATACTAGCATGTGACACAGAGGTCTGCGGGTCCCAAAAACAATTTAATAGAGGATTGAAAAAAACCCACACATTTCCACATGAACTCCAAGTTAATAATTCACTGGTAGTGCCACAAGACAAAAAGGCTTTTAAGTTATAAATATTCAAGCTAAACGATTCAGAATTACACGTGGTTACACGA